CTTAATACTTCTGAAATGAAATATAATTTGTGATTCTTTTGAATAGAAAATTTCTGCTTTCTACACATCTCTACATATTTGTCCAAAATTTCAGATTTATTTTCACCCAAATATAATTAATATTTTCTCTTATAAAGATGTTGACACTTTTAATGATGTATGCTTCTTTAGCAATGGCTGCTCTTGCAGAAGACCCCAGTTCAGTTCTCAGTGCCCAGTGCTCTTAACTGCTGAGCTGTCTCTCCAGCGCATCTTTCACTTCTTACTTTTATTTCTATTTCAGTTTATAACCTGTTATTTTATTTCTTTTGGAAAGGCATTCTTTCCTTAGCTCTGTGGTATCTTTTCCTCAGACTCTGGGGAAACTTCTCTTTCTGCCACTCATAATTCCAGCATAGCTAACTACAAAGCCGATATTCAAAACAGTTAAGAACTGACATAGCATAGATACTAACACTGCCACTTCCTCCAGATGGTGAATGTTGGCTAACTATTGTCCTAATATTTTATGACAGTGTTTTGGAATTATCATATTCACATTATTATGCCCACATAAATGTTAACCATTGCTGAAACAAAACATTGTGACTGTCTTGCTTGCACATTTTCTTATATTCAGTAAATAGTTAATTGATGCCTTAGAAGTCATTTATTTCCCCATTAAAAATTCATCGTTGGGCTGGGTGTGGTGGCACACACCTTTAATCCCAGCACTCGGGAGGCAGAGGCAGGCAGATCTCTGTGAGTTTGAGGCCAGCCTGGCTTCCATAGCGAATCCAGGCCAGCTGGGGCTACAGGGAGACCCTGTCTCAAAAAGACCAATATATGTATATATTCATCATTAACCCCAGCTTCTCTACCAGCCTTTGTCAGCAGGCAGAGTTGATTCTCCATTCGGTGTTTCTCCTGTGCTCTCTCTTGCTATGCTAATTACACTGGACTTTGAATGTTTGCACATTCATCTCACTAGAATATGAGCTCCTTGAGGTTAGTGATAGTATCTTTATCTTTGAGCCTTCAGTGTCTCGCACCACTACTAAGCACATAGCGCTTAATGAGTATTCGTTGACTAATGGATGGAACAAGACTGTTCTTTATAAAGTAGCCCTTAGTATTTGGTAGCTGGCTTTGTGAGCATTTCTCTACTTTCTCAGTCTCTTCTTACAGATCACAAACTCGAAGTCCTGTGAAGGCCCCAGTAGTTTAATAAGCACAGCAAACCTCTTGGGGTCTGTGGCATTTAAAGATCACCTGCTTCTTAGTTACAGCCAGATCCGTGAGGAAAGCTTTTGTTGCCAGACCTGGTGTAAAGATGGAAGTGCAAAATTCAGATTTAATATAAACTGTCTTGGTTTAATTATCAAAATCTGTACAGGTCAAGCAAACATTTCTTTAGGAAGATGTGTTTATGACAGTGTTTATGAACTGAGATGGTTGGGGTGGCAGTAGAGTGTTATTTAGCATCTTTTACTTGAACTGGGTGCTGGTTTAACTGAAGATGCCTCCTCTCTGGGCTCTACCTCTGAGAATGGTGGCCTCTTTGTCAACTGATCTACTATTTGGATTGAGGCTTAACAGGAATAGCCCCAGCCTATTGAAATGTTTGATTAACTGGGTAGAGTTTCAAGGGAACCAATGTTTCTTCCATTAGGTGGAAGTGGAAAATAATGAGCTAAATTATAAATAATACCAGAATGAATGCAACTAGATAAATCGTATAGTGTGTATAAATTTAAGCCATGTGTTTCTTCTGATAAAAATTTTACAATAACTCTGAGAAAGATCTCTACCTTCAGTTTGTAGATACCGAATTTACATTAGATTCAAACCTTTTGTTCTCTTAAAGTTTTTTCAGTGTATGTTTGTGTGCATGTTTGTATGTGTATGCAACTACGTGTACATGTGTGTGCATGTGTGTGGAGGCCCGAGGTGCCTTCCTCTATTGCTCTCCACCTTAATTTTTGAGACAGGGTCTCTTACTGAACCCAGAGCTCACCAATTGGCCAGACTAGCTACCCAGCAAGCTCTGGGGATTTGAACTCAGATCCTCACGCTTGTATGGAAGGTGCTTTACTGACAATCATCTGCCCAGTCCCATCCTCCCTCCCTTCCTTCCTCCCTTCCTTCCCATGAGCTCCTACTGCTGGGATGGATTAACTCTAGAAGTAAGGCCTCTCATTTTGCCCCATGAGGAAAGTCCTCAAATTAGATCTTAGAAATGAGTTAAATATGTTTTATTGTTTTCCACTAGAAATTGCTACTGGGATTTTTTTACCTGAAGACTGCTTGTTTACAGACTAAGTGTTTATTGACTAATTATCCATCATGTTGGGTACTGGGATTGCAAAGGGGAGTAGTCTAGAATTCCTAGGCTTGAGAAGTCCTAAGTGACTGTTTGCTTTTGATTGTTCCAAGTGTGAAGGGAAAAACAAGTGCTGAAGAAACAGGCATAAATAACAGAAGTTTGATGGTCAGATTGTGAATTTATAAAAGCATCAGGCTTTTTTCTCTTGTTGCAAAAATAAAACGTACTTGTAGGGAAATTGAAATGTAAAAATAATAAAAATTAAAGAAAAGATTTCCCAATAGGCTTAATTCTCTATTTACCTACCTTTATGGCTATATAGATGGATAGGGAAATTTGCACACAAATATACATACACAAATAAATACATATCCATCACACTGTTAGCACCCTGTAGTCTGTTTTCTTATTTAGAAATAATACACTGAAATGGTCTGTTAGTATTTGAATAACACTTTATGACTGAATAGCATTTTGTTGCATAAAGGTATGTCAAATGAATTTAATTTATCCGGTATTGTTAAGTATTTAGGTAATTGTTTGCATGTATGTTTGTATTTGTGGTATATGTGCATATGTGTGTACAGGTGCAAACTCACTGAGGGCAGAGGAAGACATTGGGTATCCTGCCCTACCACCGTGCACTTTATTCTTTTGAGAAAGGGTCTCTCACTGAGTGTGAAGTTAGACTGGCAGCTGGGCTTTTTCATGGGTGATAGGATCCAACCCAGGTCCTCATGCTTACACAGCAAGTCTCTTACCCACTGAGTCATCACCCAGGTCCCCTATGTAGGTAATTTTTAATGTCTTGTAATTTTTGCCATACAGAGAATGTTGTCAAATATTTTTGTGTCCTGAATTTTTCCTTAGGAGAACTTAGTAATGTGCAGTTACCGGATAGAAGGCTTTGTGTAGTCTTCAGTTACTTTTGCTCTTTTGTTCTGTATACTGCCAAATTTTCCTCCTGAAAACAAGCACAAATTTTCCCATCACCAGTGGATATGAGTTTCCATTTCAAAACTTCCATCATTTGCTACTATCTCTCTCTTCAAAACACAATCTTTTCCAACTTGATAAATGGAAAGGATGGCTTTTTAAAGATTGTTTTTGAAGAGCCTTGGCTTTCAAATTTGCTAGCCTCTGTTTTCTGGAACATTGCTGTCATGTGTTATGGTTCATTGGTTTGGTTCATTATCTGCCTTGTAGCTTCAGAGCAACTGGAGGGTCAAGCATGTCCCGTTCACCGGGTGTTTCAGAATGCTCATGGATGTTTGCTGAATTGAATGGCATTGGAGAACATGTTGTTTAGAAACTGTTGGCCAGATGTATAATTTCCAACAATCAGTGGGAGTGCCTGTTATTCCTACCAGCTGCATGATAATGAAGCAATTTATTGGGCACTGATTATATGCCAGCACTGTGTTGAGTGTTCTGCATCCTTAACACATGCCTAACACTGTCAACAAGGTCTTAAACAGAGCAGCCAGTCCCTAAGATGTCCTCATATTCCTCCTTTCTTCTATCATCCCCTATCCTCTTCTCATTGCAGACATTTGAACATATACTAAGATCAGCATAATGAACCCTGATCCATCAAACATCCAGCTTCAACAGTTATGAACATGTGGCAAGCTTCATTCTATCTCTGCCTTTCTTTTATCACCATGTTCTCACATTCCTATAATGGATTATTTTAAAATAAGGCCCAGGGCTAGGTCCAGCTCAGTGGTAGAGCACTTGCCTAGAATGCAGAATGTCCTGGATTTAATTCCCAGTGCCACAAAATAATGATGATAGTGATAATAATAGAGCAAACTTTAGGTATTTTATTTCATTTGTGAGTATTTAAACATCTATTTCTAGACAACATGAACCCAATAAAAACCACGGTACCATTATCATACTTTAAAATATTTGCAGTAGTTCTTTAATGGATCTAATGTCTAGTCAGTGCTGAATTTCCTTGATGGTCTAATAACAGACTTTTCATACTTGGTTTGTGTGAATCAGGATTCACACAAGTACTACTACTGTTTCTGAACCATTCTAACTACAACATGTTTCTTGTTCCTGGGAAGATGTGAGGACTGTTTCTCTTAGTTCTTAAGTGGTAAGATCTAAAATTCTTAAAGCCTCCCCATGAAAAAGGCTAAGGGTACGGCTCAGTGGTAGAGGGCTTGCCTTTTATGCATGAGACCCTGGGTTCAATACCCAATACCACCAAAAAAAAATCCCCATGGATTATCAATCCCATCCCCCTGTGAGGAAGTACATTCAAGAGTTAACACCAGAGAAAGGTTGACGCATCTTGTCCTTGTGCAATGGCGTAGCTCTTCTTGCCATGGGATCTTATTTACCATTTTCTCTGAATCTTCCTTAGAGTATTCATTTGGTGACTGGACTCCCATCCCTCTACCCCTGCTTTTGTGATAAACCTCTATCACAGGCTGTGGCCAAATCTCCTCCCTTAAGATGCATAGTTAGCTGAAGAGATGCTGATTTGAAAATTCTGTCTTTACACTGAGCTGAAAACATAAGACACGTTTTGTCCCTGCCTGGCTCAGAGACAATGACGTGCCACGGAAGCCTCAGGCTTGCTGTTTTCATCAGCAGGTGGTGACATTTAGAGGATATTTTACATTAAGCAAAATTTTCAAGTTTTCATGTTTGTTTTGGTTCTGTTTTGAACTTGAAGGTCTTGTGATTCTCCACTGCGTGACTGCAGATAGAAATACTACAAGAAGACCCGAAACCAATGGCTCTCTCTGTGGGGATCCTGGGGAGAACTGTGCAGGTAATGCTGATGCTTCGTATTCAATCCTGGAAAATTGCACTCCCTGAGGTTTAAATTTTTGTTTACAACATCCATCATAATAGGCAGCTCTTTGTGTAGATACAATGTACTGCTTTCTTTGTACATAATAATTCATTTATTCCTCGTAAGAGTCCTCTGAGTAAGAGATTTTTAAAATTTTATTTCAAGTCAAACTTAGAAAGATTAACTAGCCTAAGGTTACACAGCAAGTAAACAGCAAATCTGGGCTCTGAACCGCAGTCTTCCTGATTTCAGTATCTCCATTTTTTTTAAAATTTTTATTTTTTATTGTCTTTCAGGTCAGTTCTTTTGATGAAGCAAATATACAGTTATCTATAGGTACTGGGAATGCAATATCAAAACATATCTTTTAAAATCTATGTCTTTTTAAAATTGATAATTTATAGGCTATAAATCTTCAGTCTATGCATGATATAAGCAAATAAGTATTTAATTTTAAAATATACCATATTGATATTATAAGCCATGGGTAACAATTAGTATTAGTTTGAAGTGAAAAGAGTCAGAACAAATGGAAGAAACTTTAAACCTAGGAAATACCGTTATGCATCGCATTGGTATAAATTGGTATCAAAGGACCAATAGAGACTGAGTTCTGTAGCAAGACAGATACACAGATACTTGGCATCATAATCATAAGTAAAAGTTGGTACATAACTTGTCTCAAGAAATTGCCTAAGAATCTTACTACTAATAGGAAAAATTACCAGAACATGAAATTGCAAATATAAAAATACACTAGATTAAAATTATTGTTTGCTAACTGAAATGCCTAATTCATTTTTAAGCCATTCATTTTACTGAGGTAAATTTTCATATAGGAAAATAAACAGGTTTACACACTTCAATTAATTGTAACAAATACATATACCTATGCAGCTCACATCCTTACTAATACTTACAGATTCTCCATTTTGTGAAAAATTGTCACTTATGACCTGGGTTTGGTTTCCAGCACCCACATTGTAGCTAACAACTGCCTGTAACTCTAGTTCTAGGGGACTTGATGCCCTCTTCTGGCCTCCACAGGCAGAACATGCACATTGTGCACATATACCTGCAGGCAAAATACTCATACACATGAAATAAAAATTAGTAAGTAAAAAAAAGAAAGGTAAAAGAAATGACTAGGTGATTCTGTATGTATGAGGTTTTAGAACAGGCAAAACCAATAAGTGATGACAGAAATCAGAGTAATATGGCTTCTTCTGGGAGAACAGGAATTAATGGGTCACAAACATAAGTGCCTCCATTCTTAACCACTTATACTGAGTATATTTGTTACTTTTCTTGCTGTGTCAAAATACTTGATAACAGAAACTTCAGGAAAGAAGCTTTTATTTTGGCTTACAGTTTGAAGGTACCATGGTGGGGAGGCCTGCTGGCTGGAATGGCTCTAGCTGTGGCAGTGAGAGCCCAGGGCATCTGGTCACATCATACCCACAGTTAGGAAGGAGTGAGAAATGAATGCAGGTACTCACGTGGCTTTCTCCTGTATTTTTTCTCAGAACAGTAGCCCACGGAATAGTGCTGCTCACATTTAGGATGGGTCGTCCAAACTTAGTTAACCTCTTTGAAAACATCCTCACAGATATGTGGAGGGGTGCTTCTCCTAGGTAATTCTAAGTCCTGTCAAACTGACAGTGAAGATTAACACTGGGAGTTGAAGACATATACTCTAGACACAGCATTTGATATCTTGGGCTGGGTTTGTAGAAAGTTGATCCATTCTACCCTATTATTTTTCCTTTGTCTGTTGAAAATCTTTAAAAAGAGGATGAAAGAATTTGACATATTTTAGATTTTTATTTTCATTCTTTTTCTTTTTATTATTTTACTATTTAAATCATTGCATTTCATTTAGTACATCTTTATCATATTTAGACCCTCTCCCCTATCCGTACCTCCCATAGTCCCCACCCCCCCACCAGGTTTCATGCATTCTGTCACATATATTAAGGCCTATGGAGTCAAATTTCTGTCTCCGAATGTCCCTGTGGTTTGGGGGACTGTTGTGCAAGTGCGTGCAGGAGCCAATAGAGGGCAGAAGAGGGTGTCAGATCCCTCAAAGCTGAACTTACAGGAGGCTGTGAGTGCTGGGAATTGAGCTCAGGTCCTCTGCATGAGCAGTATGCACACTCTTACCCACAGAGCCATCTCTCCAGTCCCAGGTTTCACATACTTTATCTTGGAGATGCTTGAATTAACATTCTCAAAGCTATGAGCTTGCCATAAAACTTTATTTAGAGAAATATGCTGTGGGCCAGATTTGGCCCTTGGACCACCATTTGCTGGCTGCCGATCTAAGCTGCTGTTGGCTCTACAAAGATTGTGTGTTTGGTCTTCTATAAAGATTAGCTCTGATTTGGGAAAAAAAAAAAAACAAAATATAGGGCACTTTAAACCTGGGGGAGTGGAAAAGGGCCTTGTTCATCCCCTGAGAGCATCTCTGAACTGGGAGTATGGTGGCTGGGCATGAGTGCTCTCTGCCTAGCACCCTGGGAAGGCTGTACCAGAGCCAGCTGAGCATGTCTTCCTGATGTGAGTCACCAAATCAGGCCCAGTCTTTCTCTTTCATTCCTCAGAGCAGTGTGTGGGCTGCAGGGTGTGCAGAGGCTATGGACTCCACTGGTGTCTTTGGGCGTAATTGTGGGGGGCCTGGCCTTGTTATCCCCATTGGAATCACACGGCCAACTTTGTATGATTGTTTTGCTTTAGTCTGGTTTCAGACATCAGAAATTATGGCGTTTTCCTTGAGAAATTATTCTCTAGTCTTTTGATTGACAGTGTTCAAAAATCTTCCTTGTCATCATCCTAAAGATGTTTTCTGATTTAATCCTGTAGCAAGTGCATTTAACAGATCTACTTTTTAAACAAATTTTAAGGTGGATGATACAGTATATTATAGTTATGATGTTATAAAACACATCTTGAATTTACTCACTTTGCTTAACTAAATTTTAGACCTATTGTATAGCACCTTCCAGTTTCCTCAGGATGCTGGCAGCCATGATTCTGTCAAATACTTCTCTGAATTTTGCTGCTTTCTTTAACTAATAAAAGCAGAACTGTACAGAATTTATCCTTCTGTGACTATCTTCTTTCATTTAGTATGTTGTTGTTCAGGTTAATTCAAGTTGCCACACATTCCAGGATTTTCTTCTTTTACAAGGCTATTGTCTCTATATGTATGAGCCACATTTTCTTTATTCACATCTCACATCCCCTCGGGTTATAACTATAATTTGGCTCTTGTGAATAATGTTGTAATGGGCTTGGGGGTGCAAATACCTCTTTGACTTCCTGATTTCAATTATTTTCAGTTAATATGCATAAGTGGGATTGCTGGATCATATGGTTGTTTAACTCCATAGCACCATAGCAGCTGTGCCAGTGTACATTCCCACCAGTAGATTATAAGAGGTCTAGTTTCTCCACATAGTCTCTCACCCCCTCTTCCTATCTTGCTCTTATTATAACAAGTATGAGGTGATCTCTTTCTGTGGCTTTGATTTGCATTTCCCCAGTGATCCATGGTACTGAACACACACACACACACACACACACACAACACACACACACTGACCACCATTTGTAAGTCTTCTTTAGAAAAATACCTATTTAATTCCATAAGTCCATTTCAAAAATTGGATTCTCAGTTTTCTTGTTACCGAGTTTAAGACTTTCGTATACATTTTAGATATTAATCACTTACTGTAATAGAATCTCAAAGCGTGTTCTCCCGTTCCACAGGCTGCCGTTTTATGCTGTTGCTTCCGTAGCTGTGTAGAGCTTTTTAGTTTGGTCTTGTTCATTTTGGTTCTTTCATTTTTTGCTTTTGTTGCCTGTTCTTTTTGGTGTCACATTTAAGAAATCAATGTCAAGAAGTTTTTCTTATGCTTTCTGATACTAATTTTCAAGTTTCCACTCTTCCGTTTAAGTTCCCAATCCATTTTGAATATACTTTTGTGGACAGTATGTGAAAGGAGTCAATTTTTGCTCTTTTTTGTATGGATATTCATTTCCAAACATTTACTAAGAAGCCTATCCCTTCTTCATTTTTCATTCCTAGTACTCTTGGTGAAGATTAGTTGTATGTACATGTACCTGAATTGATTTGTAGACTGTCTGTTCTGTTCTATAAACCCACATATTTTTCTTTGCATCAATTCTATCCTGTTTTGTACATATTTTTCTTTGCATCAATACCATCCTTTGCATACATACTTCTAAATCAGTTTCCAATTTTCTTCTTGCTCAAGACTATTTTGAATGTTTGGGGTCGTTTGTGATTCCTGTCAATTATAAGATTGTGTTTCTATTTCTACAAATACACATCACTGGAATTTTGATTTTTCCTTTCCCAAGCTTATTTCTAAGTGTTTTATTCTTTTTAATTTTTTCAATTTTTAAAATATTTTGTTAGCATTGTTTTCTCTCTCCAACCTATAGAAGGGTTTTCAGTATTTTATTCTTTTTTATTTTGTTGTCAGTGTAATGGTTTTCTCAGTTTTCTTTGTGGATAGTTTAGTTTTTAGAAATGCAACTGGCATTTGCATGTTGATTTTTAAAAGACCAAAAAAGAAAATACATCTTAAGAAAAATACTTGGTTGATCAGACTTATTTTTAACACACTATAAAAATATTTTATTTATTATTTTTATTTCATGTGTATGGGTGAATTGCTTACATGTATGTAAGTGCACCTGTGTTGTGCAATGCCTGCAGAGGTCAGAAGAAGGCACTGGATCCCCTGGAACTGGAGTTACAGATGGTTGTTAGCTGCTATGTGGGTGTTGGGAATAGAACCTGGATCCTCTGCAAGAGCAGTCAATGTTCTTAACTGCTGAGTCACCTCTTCAGCCCCATGTGTTGATTTTGTTTCCTGGAAATCTGCAGAATCTATAAATTAGTTATAGTATGTTTTATGGGGGGGGTCTTTAGAGTTGCTACATAC